AGTTACTTCTCTACATCTCAGTCTCTTTATCTGTAAAATGAGCATGTTTGTTGTTATGTGGTATTGAGTCAGAGCTGACTCAGAGCTCACCCTCCAGCGGGTTTTCAGAGGCTGTAAATCGCATGGGAGGAGACTGACCACCTTTCTCCCACAGAGCAGCTGGTGGATTGGAACCACACACCTTCGAAATGGCAGCATAGTTCCTTACCATGAGGCCACCAGAGCTCTCTAAAATGAGCATAGTTATATCATTTACTTCGTCGAATACTAGTAAAGCTACTCTGGCATGTAAGAAGATCTATATGAGTGATTATTCTTTTAATTATTATATTTAGGCAACTCCCAGTCACACAGAATGAGGTAATTCTAGTTTTGTAAAATGGAAATTTTGCAAGCTCTTAGACTTTGATTAAATTATGTTACCTTTTCTTTTCTCCCTTGGAGGTTTAATTGGTCTCATAAACTAAAGGCAAGGACTCAGCATGAATTTATGAAAGTCCAGGTGGGTCATTTCCTTTGGGGAAATACCATGAGCGCAAGCTATTAATTACAGTGTTTGTACCCTTTGGCTTGAGCATATTTCATTTTCACTCAGAAATTTGTGGTGGAAAAATTCCTTCTCCAATGTGTGTGATTCCTGGCTATCACTCATGAGTAGCCACCCAGGGAAGGGGACCAGTAACTGAACAGTGAGGATGGACAGTGACCCTATACTCCCTACAAGAGATCATCCTCAGGCATGGTGAGCAATGGATCTGAGGTTAAAACTTCCTTGGCACTGAGTTGGCATCATTTTGGTGAAAAGAGCCTGGGCCTCACTACTATATCCAGGCTGGTGTAAGAGAGGGCCAACGTTAGTCACTGGTCCTAGAAAAAGTCATATTGGGGTCGAGAGGGCAAGAGCGGAGAGTTCCTCATGATCACTTCCTCTTGTTGTTATGTGCCGTCGAGTTGTCTGTGACTCATAGTGACCCTACGTATAGTATAAGAGCTCTGAAGCCTGCCCTGTCCTGAGCCAGTCTTACTGACTCCAACACACCTACCCCCATTGCCCCAGTTACTATATCAATCCATCTCATCTGGGGTTTTCCTCTCCTATACTGTCCTTCCAAGCATGATATCCTTCCCCAAGGATTGTTCCTTCCTGGCCATGTGCCCAAATTATGTGAGATTATAGGAGTTTCAAATGCCTCGCCTCCAAGGAGAAACTTGGTGTCACCCTCTAAGACTATTCATTTTCTTATCAGTCCATGGTATGTTCAGGACTCTTCTTCAGCACCACAACTCAAAGACATCAATTCTTCTTTTATCATCCTTAGTCATCCAGCTCTCTGATGCATAGCAAGTAATTGTGAAGATCGTGGCTTGGATCAGGTTCACTTTAATCTCTGGACTGACATTATTGCTCTTTAGTACTGAGGAGAGGTCCCTGATAGCATATTTTCCCAATGCAATTAGTCTTTTAATTAATTAGTCTTTTAATTTCCTGACTGCTGGTGCCAACAATGTTGATTATTGAGCCAAGCAAACTAAAGCTGTTAACAATCTCAGTCTCTTCACCATCTATCATGGTGCTGCCAACTGGGTCAGTGGTGAGAATCTCTGTCTTCTTGATATTGAGCTTCAGTCCATATTGAAGATTATATAGTCATTGACCTTCCGCAGCAAGTGCTTCAGGTCTTCCTCAGTTTCAGCAAGCAAGGTTGTATCATCTGCATAAAGCAGACTTTTGATGAGTCTTTCTCCAATCCAGATGCCACATTTTTACTCATAAGCCCAGCCTCCTGAATGATCTATTCTACATATAAATTGAAAAGGTATGGAGACAGGATTCATCCCTGACACATTCCTTTCCTGATTTTGAACCATGCAGTCAGTGTTTCATTGCTCTGTTCTGAGGACTGCTTCCTGCTCTGAATATAGGTTTCACATGAGCACAATCAAGTCCCATTCTCCTCAAGGTCAGCCATAGTTTTTTGTGATCAACACAATCAAATGCCTTTGCATAGGCAATGGAATACAGATAGATATCGCTCTGGTACTCTTTGCTTTTTGCCAAGATCCATCTGACATTGGTGGTTATGTCTCTAAGGGCACGAGGACCTCTTCTAAACCCAGATTGTATTTCTGGCAGTTCTCTGTCAATGTACTGTTCCAGTCATTTTTGGATAATCTTCAGCAGGATTTTATTTGCATGTGACATTAGTGATATTGTTTGATAATTTCCACACTCTGTTGGGTCACGTTCTTTTGGGACGGGAATAAATATGGATCTCTTCCAGTCAGTTGGCCAGGTAGCTGTCCTTCCTAGACCCTTTAATATGCACTACTTACAGGAAAATACTTGCCTGGAGGTTCCAAGAGAGGAAAGCACAATCTTTAGGCTAGCCTGGGATGTCACAAATCAGTCCATGAGTGTTTTGCTTGGTGTGCTGTTGAGATGAATCAGACTGCTACATCTTGCTGTCACGGAGAGGCTGGCAGGTTTAAATTGCCAATCTTGTGGCTTACAGTGTTTAACTGCTGTGCCATTAGGGATCCACGAGATAAGAGTGAGGATAGGCAAGGAAGGCTTTGATGATAAAAGTTAATCAAATACTTACTGGGATGAAGGTCTAAGTTGAAAACAGAGAATGCTGAGGGAGAATTACAAAAAGAATAAGATTTTTGAGGCAATCAGTCTCAGTAGATACAAAAATGAAGGCTGCAAGAAGCAAATGCAAGATGTCCTATCTGGAGAGAAATGGTCACTAGTGGATTCACGGTGGATAATGAGCAGGAACTTCTACTGCAGAGCAGGCTACTGCTGGCAAACCTACAGCTGGCCAGCTCACTCCAAGAGGCATTCCATATGGATTAAATCTTGCTGGCTTGATGCTGATTTCCAGATCAAAGGGCATGTCTAAAAATACCCTTTCTTTCAAGCTGATGTTTGATGAGTAAACAGAACAGGCAAGAAGTCCACAGGTCTCTTTGGTCATGCATTGTCCCAGCACAGAAACTCATTTCCTCCGCAGGCTGCCAAGGGCAAGAGGCACAAACTCGGGGAAGGCGATGAGGGGAGCCTGAGCCAGCACTCCCGGTGGAGCCAGATCAGACGGTGCGCACAGTCTGGCCCGATTCCTGCAGCCCCACAGATGTGTCTGCTCCAGCTGCCACTGGGGGAAGAGGAAGAGGCAGCCATGGGAACAATGCTGCAGTGAGGCAGCCAAGAGGAAGGAGCGGACTGCCGTGCTGCCCATGGTGCAAACGGTCACTCACGCTCCTATCTCAAAATTCGACACTCGTTCCTGAGCTGAGGGGGACAGGGACTGTTCTGTGTGAAGCATGTTGGTCGAAAAAGAATTTGCTCTAGATTTCTTGCGTGATCTCTGGGCAGGGACTTAAAAGATCAGATTAGCCTTTTAACAGATTAACACACACACACACACACACACACACATGTGTGTGTGTGTGTGTGTGTGTGTATGTTGTTGTTGTTGTTATGTGCTGTCAAGTTGCTTGCGACTCATAGCGACCCTATGTACAACAGCTCTAAACTCTGTTCTGTCCTGTGCCAATCTCATTGCCTCCGACACACTCATCCCGATTACCCCAGTCACCGAATCAATCCATCTCCCAGAGGGCCTTCCCCTCCTGTGCTGTCCCTCCACTCTGCCAAGCATGATGTCCCTCTCCAAGGACTGGTCTCTCCTTACAACATGTCCAAAGTATGTCAGACAAAGCCTCAGAATCCTTGACTCCAAGGAGCATCCCAGTTTAACCCTCTCCAGGATGAATCTGTTTGTTTTCTTCGCAGTCCATGGCACCTTCAGCACTCTTCTTCAACACCAAAGCTCAAAAGCATCAATTCTCCTTCTATCCTCCTTGGTCATTGTCCAGCTCTCTGACGCATACAAAGTGATTACAAAGAGCAAGGCCTGTACTAGATGCACCTTAGTCTCCAGAGATACACTGTTGCTCTTGAGTACTTTAGAGAGGTCCCTAACAGCAGACTTTCCCACAGAAATACGTGTTTTAATTTCCTGGCTGCTGGTGCCAAGAGTGTTGATTGTGGAGCCAAGCTAACTAAAGCTGTGAACAATCTCAATCTCTTCACCATCCATTCTGATGCTGCTAATTGGTCCAGTGGTGAGAATCTTTGTCTTCTTGATATTGAGCCTCAATCCATATTGAAGGCTACAGTCCTTGACCCTCTGCAGCAAGCGCTTCAGGTACTCCTCAGTTTCAGCAAGAAAGGTTGGGTCATCTGCACAATGCAGATTGTTTGTGGATCTTCCACCAATCCTGATGCCACATTTCTCCTCATAGAGCACAGCCTCCCAGATGATCTGTTCTGCATACGGGTTGAAAAGGTATGGACACAGGACACATCCCTGGTAATTATATATATATATATATAATTGTTGCAAATATGCACAGCAAAATGGATACCAATTTAATTTCTATGTGTCCAATTTAGTGACATTGTTTATATTCTTTGAATGAGTGTATTCTGCAAGCCACACGCAGTGCTTAATGCTTTATAATCAATATTTTTTAATCCTCACCAGAACTTTGTGAAGGAGTCCTGGTGATACAGAGGTTAAGTGTTTGGCTGCTAACCCAAAGGTGGGTAGTTTGAATCCCCCAGCCACTCCTCGGGAGAAAGATGTGGCAGACTGCTTCCGTAATGATTAGCAGTCTTGGAGAAAAAAAGCCAGGGGGTGGTTTTGCTGTCATTTAGGACAGCTATGAATCAGAAAAGACCGGATAGCAGTGATTTGGTCTTCTTTTTCCACAGACTCGTGAGGCAGTTAATATTAGGGCTCACTGACTGATGAGAGGACTCAGGGTGGTTAAGAAGGCTCTGGATCACAAGGTGGCAGAGCAGGTAAAAGCATCATCATCCAACTGGCTGAGGGCGAAGTTGGCCGCTCAGCCTGACTGTGGCAGAGAGCCGGCTACATGGCCTGTGAGCTCTGTGAGGCCTGTCCCGGGAGAAACCCCACACCACCAACCTGTTCCGCCAGCCCAAGTGTTGCCGCCCCTGTGGGGCATGTTGTCGGGGTCCACCTTCCCGTGTTTGGGGGTGCTGACGTCTTCACCACTATCTCTGTTGATCGTTATCTAAAAATGAAGAATTGAGATGTTATTATTATCCCATGACCAACATCAGAGGTTATACTTGGCAGAAAGAATGCTATTTCCCACAATCTTTAAGGCATGTTGTAACCTCAGGTCACAGGACACACTAGATGCCAGTGTTTGGCCAACATTTCATCAGATTTATGACCCGTTTAGTTGGTGAGGAGATGAATGAAATGAAGAAAAGGAGCTGACCCAGGTTATGGGGTTCAGGATTCTCTCTACGCATAACATATGTGGAGCATTTGTTTAGACAAGAAGATCAAATTTACCAGGAGTGGAGAGGGTGGATCTCACTGGAGACAATTTCTTAGTGGTTTAAAAAAACACACAAAAAATCATTGCCCAGCCATCCATATAACATATATATTTATCTATTTCATTAAAAAGATTATTCCATGAAATGCTGAGCTGATAACTGAAAAGAAACACAAAATTTATATGTACTACAATTATACACCCCTCCTCATTTAATTATATAGGTTAATACTATATCTAGAAACTGGCTAAAGCCTAGCAATGAGCATGGGGATGGGACAGGATCAGGAAAGGTTTCCTTCTGCTGTATGTGAGGCTGTTAGGAGTGAGAGGGGATTCTCCAGCAAACTCAGTTTCTTTTTTTTCTCTCTCTCTCTCTGACACACACACATAGTGGCTTATTTACTTTCTGAGATTACTCTGATCTTATTATGACATTGGAAGCTTTCCTAATTACTCTTTTTAAGAGACTTTTTATGGTGATTTGAGTTAAAGTTTCCACAGCAAATAGTTTCTCTATTCAACAATTCAGACACATTATGCTCTGTGACACTAATTATACCAATTCATCTTTATTTTAGAACTAGGTTTGCTATTCCTGTAATCCAAACAGACGAAGCTACACTTTAGCCCTCTCTGTGAGAGCCTATAGCAGGGCCTGCGGTGCACTTAGCAACAATTTCATTCAGCACAGATTCACCGCAGGGAATGACCACCACCCAGGAATCATAACTTTGACAGTCACTTTGGTAGCTACTGCTCTATGATAAAGGCAAATCAAAACACTTGTATTTCATATACACTATGAACTTCTGCTCAAATGTAATGCTTTTTCTCTGATGTCTCTCATTCACTTAAGGACAAACATTGCCTAAGTTCCCTATTGTGGAAAAAGGAGGATAAGTGAGCAGGATATATACACATGTTTAAAAGGGGAAGGGGAGGGGAGTAGGGGGAACAGCAGAGGGGGAAGAGGAAAACAGCACTCAGATGGCAGAGGTTAGTGGGTAGATGGGGATGAAGTAATAGGGAAGGTTCAATAGGGACCTGAAGAGACGAGTGATAACAGACATGGAGCAATAGTAATTAATTACATAAAATATAATTGAGGCTCAATGTCAAGAAGACAAAGATTCTCACCATTGGACTAATTGGCAGCATCAGGATGGATGGTGAAGAGATTGAGATTGTTCACAGCTTTAGTCAGCTTAGCTCCACAATCAACACTCTTGGCACCAGCAGCCAGGAAATTAAAAGACGTATTTCTGTGGGAAAGTCTGCTGTTAGGGACCTCTCTAAAGTACTCAAGGGCAACAGTGTATCTCTGGAGACTAAGGTGCATCTAGTACAGGCCTTGCTCTTTGCAATCACTTGTTATGTGTCAGAGAGCTGGACAATGACCAGGAAGGATAGAAGGAGAATTGATGCTTTTGAGCTTTGGTGTTGGACAAGAGTGCTGAGGGTACCATGGACTGCTAAGAAAACAGATTCATCCTTGAAAGGGTTAAACCGGGCTGCTCCTTGGAGGCAAGGATTCTGAGACTTCGTCTGATATACTTTGGTCATGTTGTAAGGAGGGACCGGTCCTTGGAGAGGGACATCATGCTTGGGAGAGTGGAGGGCATGTGCAGGAGGGGAAGGCCCTCTGGGAGATGGATTGATTCGGTGACTGGGGCAATCGGGATGAGTGTGTCAGAGACAGTGAGATTGGCACAGGACAGAGCAGAGTTTAGAGCTGTTGTACATAGGGTCGCTATGAGTCACAAGCAACTCGACGTCACATAACAACAACAACATATGAATAATCTTATAAAACACAATATATAGAATAATTATATGCAAACCAATTCATTTTTTTTAAAGTAATTATTTTTTCATGAAAGAGCAGATGACATTTTCATTTACTTGTTCAAGTAAGACTTAAGAGTACCATACATCGCAAAGCATCAGAAACCTACAAAGACAAGGGGGGATGTCCACACTCCTCAAACATGAGGACACTTTACTCAGATTGCTGAAAGTTAAACAGAGAAGCATGTGATAGGTGTAAAACATGGTGCTAATTCTGTCTTTAGCTCAGCCCCATCTCTGGTAAACACGTGGACTTTTTCTTCTTGGTGTTGGGACTAAAGAGAGCAGGGGGTAACTAAGGGCATCAATGGTTCTGAAAAATGAAGTCAACACAACTTCCATTATCTTATATCCAGATAAGTGAATTTCAAATGTCACAACGAGAGTTTACTGGGCTTTTCTGCCAATGACTTTGACAATATTAGCAAGTAACAGTTATGATTTTACCATAACTTCAGGATTGTCCAAGAGAACGTGGTTGGTAGTCAAAACAAGACAATTGATATGAATTGCACACAACTGTGCTAAAAAAATAGTGAAAAATTTTTTTTCTCGTTTTTTAAAAACAACTATGCAGAATAGCTAGCAAGATTTGGAGAATAAATGAACATTTAAAATGCCTTCCCTCAAACGTGCCACTTCTTTCCAATTTGTCCATAGGTCCTGTCAGAGCTGTGTTGTAAGCTAAAACATGTCAACTTTCTGTGACGAAGGAAAGATACTAGCCATTAGCCATGAACACATGAGGTTTTCAGTATAGTAGTCATTAGCCCAGTTTATCTACTGGCATGGTGCTTGTACAATGGGGGGACCTGCACTTGAATTTTATTTCATTTTCATTAATGATGATAAAAATAGCCATCTTTAGAGGGAGTTCTGGTAGCCTAGTAGTAAGAAGCTGTGCTGCAATCCAAAGGCATGTGGTTCAAACCTACCAGCTGCTCCATGGGAGAAAAACAGGCAATATCCTTCTATGCCTCTGAAAATCAGCTGTAGGGTCAGCTGTAGGTCAGTTCTGACTCGAAGGTAAACAATCAACAACAGTTAGTGGTTACAATGCTGTGCAGTACAGGAACAATATTGTTAGAGTCGTGGCCACACAGCTTGGGGACCTTTGTTCAGAGGTTCTCCATGGAAATAACTAACTCACCCATTTATTGCTGTTGAACTGAGACTGACTCACCGCTTACCTACCAGTGGGTTTGCAGAGGCTGTAAATTGCATGGGAGGAGACTGCCTATCTTTCTACCATGGAACAGCTGGTGGATCCAAACCTCTGGCCATTGGGCTAGTAGCTTAACTCCTCACCCATTAGGCCACCAGAAATTTTTAATGCAAAAACAGCAACAACAACAACAACAATAACAAAACCATCCCAAAGTCTAAATAACAAAATACAGAAACCCAACAAACCAAAGACAAACCTTCAAAATGGAGATAGTTTTGATCTAATTTTAAAACAGAAAAATATATATACATACACATATATACACATATACACACAACATATGTATATATGTATATGTGTGTGCGTGCGTGTGTGTGTGTTTATTTATTTATTTGTTTGTTTGTTTGTGGGGGGAGCTCCCCGATTAAAACAAGCTTGGAAGGAGGAGTGGCATCCACTTCCGTAGTAGCTTGCCTCCGGAAACCCTATGAAGCTGGAGAGAGGATGAAAGACATACAAGCGTTGAGGACTCTCCTTCACAGGGTCTTTTGAGTCACCTGCGACTCGAAAGCACTTAACAACAAACAACATATATAAACATTACTGAGCTCAAGTGTGTTAGAGATGATGAGGACAGCACAGGATAGAGTAGGGGTCGGGTCTGTTCTTCATGGCGTGGCTTTGAGCTGTACTCTGTCTAGAAGAACTGTAACTATAATTCCATTAATGGTACTGTCCAGTCAGAACCAACACATCGCTGACCCTCCAGTAAGTTTCTGAGCCTGTGAATCAGATGAGAGGGATTGCTTATCTTTCTTGCTGGTGGCTCTCAGTAAGAGCTGACTCAATGGCATCCAGTAACAGTAACAGCAGCTTTATTTTCATCAAATGTTGGATATCTCCTCTAGACATTTTACACAACCAATTTATTCGTCTTGAAGAAAATAACCTTTTACGAATAGTCTTTCACAACAGCTTGAAGAAAATAACCTTTTATGAGCATGGCATAAAGCTAAAGGGGAGTAGCCCTTAAAATAGAGTCTTGCAGTCACTCCAGAAATAAGTTGCAAAGAAATCTAGAATCAAATGTTATGGGTTCAACTACACTTTCCCAAAACATACCTTGTTAATCCTAAACCTGTGGTTATAATCCCATTTGTGTTGGGCTTTGTTATGTTAATTGGGCAGTATTAGTATAGAGTATATTTTTAAATCCCTTTTTTTTTTTAGATATAAAAGAACAGATGAAGCAAGCAAGCACAGATGGAGAAGACAGATGCCAGGCCACATGAAGAACACCCAGGAACCAAGAACAGAAGGTGAAAGGAGCTAACACAGAGAGAGTCTGCCCTTAGACCTGGTGCCCTCAACCCTCACATATGAGAAAAGAAAGTTCTGATTGTTAAAGCCATGGCCTTGCGGTGTCTTTGTTATAACAGCACTACATAACTACACTTGGGCCTTCAGAGGGTTCAGAAAATGGGCTGTACAATTTCTGGGGAATAGGAACTGGCTTCTCTTTGCTACCTGTTTGCCTTGCCAGGCCATCTGCCTGGGAAATGACTCTGCTCATATTACCATCAACAAGACAGCTTCACATCAACCCAAACAAGAATCTGGAGACGTTTAAAAAGGAACAAACTCTTGGCAAAAATAATCACCAGTCAAATTCTGATTTATTCCAGAGAAATACATAACATAAAAT